GGCCACGGGGGAAAATTCGAATCTATAGTGACGGCAAGATTTGTTGTTCACGGGTGCCTATTTTGTACGCAGGTACGTTAAAATAGTAGGTATAGGTAATAATATTTACACGTTGGTTTTATTTTTTACGGTTCTAGAAAAAAAAAAAACATTCTACTCCTACCTGCGCCCCGTTTCACCCAGGTCGTTTTAACGTTGTACATTTTTTTGTTTTTTTTTTTTTTTTCTCAACATTTTATACTTTTTTATTCGCGTGAACTACATATAAAAGCAATAGAGTATACTCGCATTATTATATTCCCCGGTGTTACAATATACAATTATTTTAAACAACCGCCTCGCTTATTATAGCCACCATTATTATTATTATCGTTATTAATATTATATACCGTAATACATTACAGGCAAGTATAATATTATAACGTGGTACACTACAAGCGTTACTTTTTTTACCGAATTGTCGTTTTGTCACTGTTGCGAATTGATTCAACCACACTCTGCCGCCGCCACATCCGCATTGTTCGGACGACTCCGGCGTGTTATTATTATATTAGATGTTTTTTATGGTCATCGTAATATATTATTATTATTATTATTATAACGATCATAACTACACAACTGTTTTCGCGTTTTATATTCAAATACTGAATATTGGTTTTACAGTGATGTGCGCTTTTTAATGTTTTTTTAATTTCCCTGCAGTCCGCGGACAAACTTTTCTGCCGAATGATTTATCGTTGCGTGTACAGTGACGGCCACCTATGCGTTGTCACATTGCTCCGAAAATAATTTGTTTGAAAAATAATCATTTTGAAACAAACCTAATTTAATCAGAAATAAAGTTATTGAACATAATACACAAGATCACTAACGTTTTAGAACCCTAAACTATTAGGAATATTACAACTATTAAAACCTAACGACTCGGAACGCTCAAATATCATAATGACGTAATATCAACACATGTTGGTTATTCTTGCGCCGAGGGTTCGCAATTTTTTCGGTCGTGCACAGAAAATAAAATTCAAGAACAATAATATATTTTAAAATTTAACATTCTGGATTTCTAAACAATATTATCATTCCGATTTATTATTTTGCTAATAAACTACAATTCTGATAATTTAGAATTCCCCGACAATTGGGCTTCGAACAATTTATTTTCTACCTCTTATACGTTCCACAATTTACGAATCAATAGTCGATTATTTTCGTCGTCTTTTATTTTCTAGTTCTTTATTTTAACTACAATTATTCCCCAAAGTGTTAATCATTTAAATATTAGAATCCTAGAGTTGTATAGATTGAAAGTGATATTATTGTTCTCGGATTTTATTGTTTGTGCGGATAAAAATGAATTAGCTCTATGGTTCCTAGCTATACTATCTCGCCCACAACAATGGCACACCCATCAGTATAGTTATTATTATCGCTTTTTTTTAATAATACTATTTTTCCACATTCGAAAACCCATCAGGGGGAGAGGGAGCTCCTCAAGACCTCTGGAATAAAACGGTCGTCGCTTCATCGGGCAGCCAAAGGTTAAGGCCGTCGTCGTCGGAATAATAATCGATATTATGCTTACGCGTTTCCGCGACAAGTCTATTATTGTTGTTTAACACGAATCAAATTATACGTTCGCCCGTACATATCCAACAAGTGCCAGCGCCGCCACCGCCGCGTTAAATTTGCACGAATCGTGAAAACGAAATTACATAATTATTTTAAATTGCCGTTTATTTTCCACCGATATTTCCAAGGTCAAGGGAATGGACGTTGAACTACACTGTAGCCGGTAGGTACGTATTGTATACCGTCGTCATATCCGGGCTAAAAAAAAGTCTTGTTAAAAAGAATAAAAACCGAATCGTGAGGGAAAAAACAATGGACAAAACTGCAGGCGAAAAAAAAACAGTTTACACTCGTTTTATCGTAGATATACGTACAAAATATGTCTGGGAAAAACATGTTCTCGGTCAGTAAAAATATGCTTACTCCAATGATAAGGTGGATTTTATTTTTTCTCAACAGCTATTGTAATACTAGTTGTTAAAAACTTAAAATATTTAAATCGTTTATTTCCGTACATAAATAAATTGGTGGTAGTGTAATGAAATATTTAACCCATCATTGTCGATATCAAAGGAGAAAAAGTTATGGGGGGAGGGGCATAGGGAACATACATACCCCGTCGTCCGATTTCAAAATTACGAGCGGACAAACAACAACGCACAATAATAATATTATCACGCAAGTGATACGAGTGGGATTTTTCGATTTCCCGTCGTCATCAAAGGCTAACCGATCACCGAGACAAAAAAATCACCGGACTTTTATTTCGCGCCATGCGTCGTGATCGCGTTTCGGCTCCTCGGTTCACGGGTAACGCGCGGTGTGACGTGCCTATATCCCATAATATACATTATAGTTTCCGTCCCGTTGTTATAAATCACATAATAACACCCCCGGGGGATATTTTATAACAATAAAATAAAGCTGGGCCGACGACCGCAATATGTATAGGTACAGGCGGTGAAAAACGTTGCGATTTTCGTTTCGAGTCGTATAATACTGTCTGTATATTGTAACTACGTACTGCATATTGAGATTAATCGATGCAGCGTTGATGATGCGGGGAGTAAGTGCCGGGAAACGTATTTTTTACGATATTTTTTTTTTTTATTTTTTTTCCCCAGTCGACTTATTTCGTGCGGAGATAACGTCGACAAGAAAAGTAGGCGGGCACCGTGCGACGTCGCACGAATCCGACCGAGTTTCACAAGTCCGTATAATCTGTCGCGAATTTTGCCACGGATTAAACAGTGCTCGATCGGAAAAAATGATTACTATATGAGACTAAAATACAATGATCAAAATATTAGCGAGATCTCAAGTTCCATTTGATATTCTTGTTTTCCTTTAAATCATCATGATACCTATCTGGTTACTCCTTTGGCACGTCTATCTTATGCGATTTTCTAACTTGAACCCTTGCTTTCCGTCAACACAAGTTTTACGAAATTCTTGTTTTAAGCGACATGCAAATAAGTTAATCGTAATCAATTGATGCAGATGGGTACATGTTCTCGATCAATCGGGCTTCGGCGCGTGTAGCTTTATTAAAATAATGTACGAGCACGTGCGTCACCCGGTTTAGATAATATTATAAAAATACCTATTTCCTGGTACATAAGATAGGTACCGCGATTTCGATATATTATTATTAAATATACTTTCACTGTGTGCCCGGTTTTCCGTTATAATATTATCGGAGTCGGCTAGTTTGTAATAGGTATTAAAAAAAGGAAAAAATAATTACGCGATGCGTGCAACGGACTTTCACCGGCCGTATGAATTTGTGGTTCGAACGAGTGACGCGCGCTGATCCGTCTAGTCTGTTTTTTTTATCGTTTTACAAATAAAAATAATAAATAACTTATTGTTTACACAGCCGTTTTTTCACATGCGACGAAGGCTTGTGAACCAAAGTCCTTCTGGAATCATTTACGTCAAACACGGTCAAGTAAAACAGATCTATGTGCAAGTAGATGCTCTATTCGAAACGGAATACAGCCAATACGTGCTGTCCGGCGTAGCTAGCTATCAAAATGTGTAAAGTGGCTTTCTGGGATTTTGTATAAGTTTAGTTTAATAAATAAAAAATCTAAAATATAGATAGGAACGTACGAGTTTCTTAATAAAAATAATTGTATTTGTGGGACAACTTGTGTATAGTACATATAACAATATTATTGTTTGCAATTACGAGATACCTATTTATAGCTTTATTGCAATTCAATACCATAGTATATTATCAAACACTTTAAGCATAACAATTAAATAAAATTAAAATAAATGTTTTCAAAGTTCAGTATTATATTTGAATCTCATGAATGTAAAAGTTATATTATAGCAAATATAATGAAAAAACTAACACCAAAATATTGAATACACCAAAATATTGAATTACATAATAAATGCATTCAACCATTCCTATATCTAATCTTATAATTCTATCAAAGTTTAAATTACATCACGACCTATTGATGAGTTTGCACAATTTATAGAACAAACAAAAAATTGACCATTTTTTGAATCAACTTCAAAAATGCTGTCCTATTCAAAAACTGACAACTGGTGTTCTTAGTAATATGACAAAATACTAAACACACTGTCCGAACATGTAATTATTATGAAAATTAATATATATTGAAGATTATCTATTGATAGATTTTTTTTTTATTTATTATTTAGTACAAATATTTTGTTCAAAATATAATGTTGTAATTATTGATCTATTTTTTTTTCTGAATTTAATTCTCTTAAAAATATACGAGTAATTAGTAATGATAAAAAAAAATTTATTATAATTCTTAATTTACTCAAAATATCAAAATACATTACTAGTTTTGCTTAATTCGTGAAATTGGCAAAAAACTATTCACACTATGAATTTAACAAATTCAACTCTGGGATGAAACTTTTATACTCTGAAAATTGAAAAGGAAAAATTAAATCCTATAAATTACCTTGCTGTTTACATGAACAATATTGCACAATTAAACAATGAATAAATGAAAAGATTGAAACACAAAGATGTGAACAATGGAAATGTAATGTACAAATAAAATTTTAGAATCAAATGCATTACACGTTATTAAATTTGGTAGCTGAATAAGTTAATTACTTTGATGTTTTTTATTAACTGAGTTTAAAAAATAAATATACACCTTCAGTATTGCTCCCAGAAGATTATTAAAAGAAAAACACAATATTTTATGCATGAAATATCTTATTAACTACAAATGTTGTCATTTTTTAACTAAATAATTTAATAAAAAAGACTAAACTATTTATCAAAATAATAAAGAGGAAAAAAATTACAAGGTTTAAAAAATCATTCATCATTGATATCCAAAAGAAAATAACAAATTGATATTTCTTAATACAATATATTATACAAATAAATAGATAGAAAAAAAACAAATGTACAAAAATATACACATATAAATTAGGTAGGTCATGACATATTCAATATTAACTTAAAAATAATTAAAAAAATAAAATTTTAACATTTTGATAATGGATACACACATAAAAGTATGGGAATTTAAATATATTTTTCATACTTTACCAGTCTTTCTTTCATATAATGCCGAAACACACTCTTGTACATAATGCAAGCATGATGTTTTTATTAAAAATCCACCTGCGAGTTCTTGAGTAGTCTCTCCTCGGATGTATTTCATGTATCCTAAAGATTCCAAATGTGAAATATCCGGGCACAAAGGACCATTAAGTTCATGAGAAACTGATTCATATTTGAATAATGGACCTTCTTTTATTGGAATCGACATAGTAGATTGATTGTATTTGACACCAGTTGAAAACTTTGTAAAGTTTATCGGTTGTTTGGAAACTGGTTTTGATTTTACAACAGGGATTTCTTCTTTTTTATGTGCATACGTATTAACAATATCCCTAGCATCAGAATTCGAACGTGCTAAACTATCGATCAATTCAGCATCTACACGCATTTTTTTATTTCTTTGTTCAGCTTCATCTCTTAAAACTTCATCTCTTTTATATTGTGTATGCATAAGTTCTTCTTCAATCAATTCTTCTAATGCTTGTTCATCACGTTTACATTTCATTCTATTTTTCATAATTATATCTTTATTTTCCCTTTTGTATTGCTCGATACGCTCTTTTGTTTCGATTACATTGATGTTTTTAACTAAATTATAAATAATATCTTCGATTTCTACTAAATAATCGTTATATTCATCCAAAGTCTCAAAATCATCTTCATTCTTATTGAAGTCTTGTAATATTCGTTTTCGTGTTTCTACTTCGACATCAACTGAAGCGTCTTCAAACTGCTGAAGTTTAAAACCATTACGGCGCAGAGGAAGTAGACATTTTGGACAAGGTCCAGAACCTGCAATTATAAATAAAATTATTAAAAATTTGTTTAACATAATATTATTAATTATTATTAATATGTATTTTTATTCTTAACTATACTTTAAAGAATTGTGTTTTGTAACATGGTAAATAGGTTAAGTAATAAAATGCTTGCTGTGTTTTATAAATGATCAACATGATGGTTTTAAAATAACTTTTGGCAACGTTTTGACTATTTTATTGTTTTACTATAAAATCTGTTAGGTACCTATGGAAATATTTTATAATTTAGACAAAAAATTAAACATCTGTTACCATTCCATCAAAAAAAGAACTCGCCTTCCACCAAAATATAATTTATTGTTTATATAGCTACTGAATTATTTTCTAAATTAAGATTAAGTTCAACTTTGAAATTTAAACTAACAAAGTACCTGCTATCTACCTAAATGATGATGCTAGTGATGTATTGATTGTATTTTTTTCAACAGTGTTGTGTTGTATTTGTGTATAGATATTTATAGACAGATATTACGATACAGATGGTATTTTAAAGAGGTCAATATTGAAATAGATGTCTGGGTTGGTTTTTATTCAAAATATTTTTAAATTATTTAATGTACACACCAAAAATAATTATTTTTATAAGTTTCATTATTTATTAAATACTTCAATCCTAACAACTCAAGAAAATACCAATATATATACTAAATAATTATAATAATAAAAAAAATGTTAAACAGATTGGTAATGCAATAAAATGGTAAAAACATTTATGCGACCGTTGTGTTGTATTAATTTAGGCATAGATTTGAACAGAAGTTAAGAAGTTCAAAAATAACTTTGTCTTCGAATAGCCATATTTGATAATATAGAAGTATTTGAATACAAATTGGTATGCATAAAAACTACTAGTAATACATTTGACTAAAGAAAATATGATGTAAAACACATTGGTAATGCAATAAAATGGTAAAAACCTTTATGCGACCGTTGTGTTGTATTAATTTAGGCATAGATTTGAACAGAAGTTATGAAGTTCAAAAATAACTTTGTCTTCGAATAGCCATATTTGATAATATAGAAGTATTTGAATACAGTTTGGTATGCATAAAAACTACTAGTAATACATTTGACTAAAGAAAATATGATGTAAAACACATTGGTAATGCAATAAAATGGTAAAAACCTTTATGCGACCGTTGTGTTGTATTAATTTAGGCATAGATTTGAACAGAAGTTATGAAGTTCAAAAATAACTTTGTCTTCGAATAGCCATATTTGATAATATAGATGTATTTGAATACAAATTGGTATGCATAAAAACTACCATAGTCCGTTTTACAAGAACTGAGACTTGACGCTGCCGCACCTCGTGGCAGTTTTGTCTCAAACCAGGGGTCTTCAATCTTCTTCTTCTTCATTGACATCACAACTCTTCAAGAGGTTTTGCCGCCCCCGACACCTCCTTTCACTCTTCTCAATTCTGTACTTTTTCACTTTTTCTTACCAATTTGGTATCACTAGTTTCTTTAAGTCCTGTTTTATTCCATTTATTCATCGCTACTTTGGATGTCCTCTTGGTCTCTTCCCTGTAGGTTTCCATACGACCACCATTTTAAGGTACTCTGAGTTAGACCTTCTCATCATGTGCCCAAACCATTTTATTCTTTGTGCTTTTATAAAGTTGGTTATCCTTAGTACTCCTGTCAATTCTCGGGTGTCTTTGTTGATTCTTCTGCATCGGCATCCCAGGTCGTTGTGGTATATTGGACCGCAGATGATTTTCAGTATTTTATTTTCGAACAACATAAGTTTTTGTTCCATTCTGCTTGTTAACGGCCATACCTCACGTCCATATGTTAGTGTCGATATAACTATCACCTTGTAATGGTATACTCTGGTTCTTCTAGAAAACAGTTTAGATTTAAGGTATTTGGATAATGAAAAAGATGCATTTTCTGCCTTGATGATTCGGCTATTTAATTCTATGGACCAGTCATTATTACCATTGATACAGGTCCCCAGATCTTGGTCTTCAATCTAGGATAGAAAACAAAATGCGTGGGTTTTTTCAAATAAATAGTAAGATTAGCTAAGTACGTTTATTTGATGTACCACTATTTAGTGTGAGCAGATGTATTTTATATTATACATAGAAAAAAAAACCCCTTAGGAATTTTACAGCACATTATATACGCTAGTTTTGAAAACTAATATTTGAAAAAATACCACAAGACGTGTTATCGTTGAGTTGCAGTTATTGTAAAACATGCATAAAAAATATGATGTAAAACACATTGGTAATGCAATAAAATGGTAAAAACCTTTATGCGACCGTTGTGTTGTATTAATTTAGGCATAGATTTGAACAGAAGTTATGAAGTTCAAAAATAACTTTGTCTTCGAATAGCCAATTATTTTTCCACTTTAATTTCCTATCTATTTAATAAATACAAGTTGTTTAAATATCTATTATGTTAGCTTTTTGTTCAGACATAAAATCATAGACATTTTCTCTTAATTTGTAATATACAAGCACCAAAGTAATAATAATACTGGTTAAAATTTATGTAGGGCAAATTGGTAATGCATGTAAATAATAAAGGAATTCCAGCGATCATATGACAGTTTTTAATATAGGCATAGCTTTGAGCATATATTATCAAAAGTATAAAACATAATATTGCCTTTGAATTGACGTAAGTGATCGTAGATGATTCAAAATACCTTTATCAGTGGGGAATCTAAAATGTAATCGAATAGCCCAGCAAGGAAATTTTCTCAAATTATTATGTGTTAACAACTATTATGATTAGTGAAATCACATTGGTTTTCATAATACATAAAGCATAGAATACCTGTGTATGTAGCTAAAGATTGTCAAATTTTGAAATATATTCGGTAGGTAATTAATTATCTTTATTTAAATACGCAACATTTTATTTAGATGCTATCATGATATAACCTGCAGATCAATATTTCCATGTTTATTCCAACCATCTATCTATATACCTACATTTTAAGTCAATACCCGGGAATGATTTTTATTTCACCACAAGTACCTACGAACAATTAACACGAATTTATAGAATATTCACCTTTCATGAACGCTACTTCGATGCAATTGGCGCACATGGTATGTCCGCAAACGTTGAAACTGAACACGAGGTTTGGATTCCGAAATTTGGAGCTCATGCACCGAACGCACGCCAGCTCCTCCATATTCGGATGTTCGTTCGACCACTAGGTAAGTAAGGGTACTCGCGGCCAAACAGATCGATCACGGAAGCGAGACTTATACGTTAATACACATTTTTGATGTGGTAATTCACATTTGTCGACGTCAACTTACAGTGGAAATCCATTGCGAACAACCATCTACATTGAAAGATTTTTAACGGAGTTTCCGATAGCAATATTTGATAAGAGCCCAGTGGTTCCCAAAATGCGTGAAAATCGCTGTGAAGGCGGTAAATAGGCAATAAATATGCAGAAATGGACGATATAAGGTAATTTTGAAGACGCTTTAAAAAAATGTATGTTATTTCGTACGTAATACGTGTCACAGTAATCCGAAAAAGTCAGATTAAAAATAACTGGAAATTATAAAACCATAAAATCTAATAATGGTATCATATTATTATTTTGATAACTCCAAGTTGGTAGGTATTCAATGTAATACAAAAATAATTTGTGAAACGTGACCGACTGTTTTAATCTGTTCTTCAGTCGTTCCGTGAATTTTGGGTCATCGTGTTCTGTTATTGTTTTGTAAATATGCCAACTATCTCCATTTTTCTAAAGAAAATTGGTCGTTTTTAGTGCAATACTGCAATCAATTTCAATTGGCCTTTTTACTTCTTCAATATCCGCGCTCTGGTGATAACAAATAGATTAGATAATATTTACATGAATATTGCTTGATGGAAGGAGTCGCCCAGCGGCGACACTTCTCTACGGTCACAGAGACCAATTGCAATAAAAATTGTTTATTTTTTTTTTTCACAGTTAAGAGGTAAATTCACATTATTTTTAAATTTACAAAAACTATTAACAAAAGGATCAATATTGTACCTATTAGCTACACTCGTTAAACGATGAATTGGTGCATTTGATGCCAATTGATTAAATTGCTAAAGACGAATAAAACGAATTGACATTTCTTAAATTGATTTTGGTTATCTTAAAACTAATCATACATGATAATTCAGGACATTCAATTAAATTATCAAGTAGTTTTTATAAGAAAAATAAATCTAATTTTTTTTTCTTCTTATTTCTAAAGTAGTATTTGAATTCGATTTACTGAGTAATGACTCACAAGATGTGCGCGCCTCTTTATAAATAATATGTTACAATCAATAGAAACGAATCATGAAAATCGGCGCTGAACCGCTTCTAGTTCTTTAACTAAACCTATCTGATGTGGTGCCCATAGAGTGCAGTCATATTCGAGACACGATCGGACTAGTAAACAGTATAATGATTTTAAGGCAATAATATTTGTACAATTTTCACAGTGGAACCTTATAAAACCTAATTGTTTTGATGTTTTATTTATTATTTAAGAAATGTGAGTATCAAAAGTCAAGTTGATTAAAAAATAATTCCTAGATCTGCGATATTTAAGACAATTGGTAGTGTACAATTAGAAAATTCGGTATTTGAAAATGATAGGTCTCTTAATTCGGTAGAAGTAAATACAATTGCATATAAATATGTTCAAAGACATTTCGTTCGTTGAGCACCGGGTAACCATGTTGTCCGCGTGTTTTTGTAGTAAATATGGATTATCAATGGATTTTATTAAACCGATTAATTTGCAGTCATCAGCAAACGAAAATAATGTAGTAAAACGTAGACGAAAATATATTGTATACAAATTTGGGAAGCACTGGGCCTTCTTATCGAATATTCCTAGCGGAACGTTTGTGCGTAAACAAGTTTTAGTTTATTGTTGTTTACCATTTATGCGGCTTTGAGCTTTACTGCTGTCCTGCTGATGTACGAGATACGCCCTCGAATGTCAAGGATTACTGTATTCATTGTCTGAACAATTTTTCGGATGGTTCATCAAAACATTGTGTAGAAAAGTAAAAATGAATTCAAACTAGTGAACTTTGAACGTATCTATGTACTGTCCACTGTTGAGTACACGGTCGTTTCGTCCCCGTCATTAGCAGACGTTTCAGCCCGCAATATCGATTGGTTGACAATTATTTCAGGTATTATTTTAAACAATTAATCAGATTCAAATAATTAAACATTACGAAGTTTATTCTTCTATTCAATGATAGTTATAACTAAACTTAAGGAAATTATATTTTAAATTTCATAAAATACACTTACAATGACCACCTATGCCATTAATTATATATAAGTAATTATTATTAGTAATTCTTAATACCTTTCAAAAATCTGTATTTAGTAGAACTTTTTTTAAAATCATTAATACCCATTCTAATTAGAACATAGTTTACTACAGTGGTTTACTCCATGGTTTACCCCTCGATAGGATCCAAATATACCATTGAAAATACGAGATCCTATTGAATAATTGCATATAAGAATTAAAATAGTGCATTTTAAATCAACTTGAATAATATAGATATCAAGTAACATAAAATTTGTCAACCACAGTCCTCAGGGCTATGTTATAGTTGTCAATTATGACAGTGAATGTATTAAATAAGAATAAAACACTTGAGTGTCTAATAAAATGTGTATTTTATTAAAATATAATTAAATATTAATTATAAACTATTGAAAGCATAATATGTAAAAAAAAAAAAAATAAAAGTAATGCTAAATACAGTCCACAGATCAAATCACAACAAATAATACTTTTTCCCATAGACTTAGGTATTATTTTAATAGTTATCAATACAATTTAAATTTTTTAAAAGAACAAATACAATTTAGTTCTTAAGCAATTTTGGAAATATTTTTTCAAAATGTGTGTTTTGTTTGCTTAAGTTGATGAAGAATTTTGATTAAAAAAAAGTGCCTCAAATTTCTTTTAAAGTTGCCATCAAAACTCTCAATTTTTCTAAAAATCCTGTTATTAAGTTTTAAAATACCAAAAATTTAAAAATGTGGAAATTTATTTTTGTTTAATGTTACTATTGTTACTATGTTCAGAATTTATTTATCGTACTTACTTTTTATGTTATTGTTAACAATCTGCATGAGTCTAAAAACTCAATTTTAGAGTTACTTTAATATGTAAATGTTTGAAATAACTTTACAATTAGATAAGTTTTATGTGTTTATTAAGAATAACATAAAAAGTAAGTACAATAAATAAATTATGATTTCACCAAACTTTTGAACATAAAAATAATATCATGTACAAAAAAATTATTACAAAAATTTTTGGTACTTAAAACTTAAAAACACGATTTTTGGAAATCAAGAATTTTGAAGTTTGTTGACCAATTTCTAAAGGAAATTTGAACAACTTTTTTTGTAAGTACCATCAAATTAAGCATGCAAAAATATATTTAAAAAAAAAAAAAAATCGCTTGGGAGTTAAATGCCATAGTTTTACTATATATCTTTATTTAATCCATAGGCTTAATAAAAAAAAATATTGATGTTTTAATTATTCAAACAATTGTAATACAACCATGCAATTATCTATTATTACTATTTTACATATATAATGATATTTGATAGTAATAATAAATAAATTTACTTACATTTTTATTTTGTAGTTGTTCTTGGAAATATTCTAGGATTGACTGTTTAGTGACAAACATAAGACAAGTAATACAACACTAACTATGGTAAGTTGACTTTAAAATTTATAAATCCTTCAGTATTTAGATTTAATCTGCATTAATATTATACACACGTTTCACAGCACATCCAATTATACTAAAAAAATTATAAATTATTTTAAAAATGTTCAATTTAAATTCAGCAAATAGTGTTTAACTCCACCCAGAATCGTATTATGTTTGCAAAGATTAATTAATACATTCAGGATTTTAACTAAATTATCCTATGTATCATTTTAATTATCCCACTTTTAACAGTAATTTACTTAAAAGTCAGTTTTTTGTTAGTTTTTAATTATACTGAGTGGTAGATAATTAATATTTGCAGAAATTGACATGGAAATTCTTGTTTCAATAATTAAATGACATTATAATAGCACAGAGCTAAATATATTAGTTTTTATTACTATAAAAATAAAATGCTTTATACTAAAGTACATATATGTTTTTATTTGTTAAGGAATTTAAAAATCAACTTTCAAGGAATGTACTCATTATACAAATTTGAAGACTATGGCTGGGAAAAGTTGTATGCAAAACATCAAATGAAAGTTCTTAAGCTCAATGATAAGTATCGTGATATAAACCGTTTATACTTACTTTTATATCTTGATTTGTATGAACATAAATTATGTTCAATTGATTGAAAGTTACTGAAGTAACTACCTACCAACTCGTTATCGTCAAGAAATAAAGATAACAGATTTTTTAAAAGATGCAATTTGAGATGCCGATTCTATTTATTTGGATTTAGCTGGAGAGTGGTTAAAATATAGAGGTATTGATGATATAATTGAATTTGTTGACTATTACTATTGGAAAAGTCGTTTATCCAAAATTAAGCACTTACCAAGAATGTATGAGGTCTTTAAAACTTATTAAGAATTTGACAATAAACTTTAGAACTGATTATAATTTCCTTGAAATATGCCCTGATTCAATAAATTTTATTACAAATTTGAAAACTCATTCATATTATAGTTTTAGTAGAGACAAAAGATAAGTTTTGTATAGCAATTTGGAATATGTTTTATGAGAAATTTTTTTTTATTAGATATCCTCAACAATCAGTTTCACTAATCCAAGCTATATTTTATGTCAAATTCTTTGATTTATTAGCTGCTGTTGAAGTATTGTATTAAAAGATTCTAGATACTTATAAGTTTCCAGAATCGTTAACAAAATCTCAATTGGCTACTGGACAGAGGATTCATCTTTGTGGAATAGTTAATATAAATTTGTTGAAAGAAGTATTTATAATATATATTAGTTACTTAATTATAATATATTTATTCAAAGAATGTTTTGCATCATAGATTGAATTTGTTGAAAATAAAAAAAATCTGTTGAAATTCATATGAACACTGAAATCTCTTTGCAAGTTGCTAAAGTTAAAAAAATAAATTTATATAATTTAGTTTTTATTATAATTAATAAGTACTTTTAAATTTATACATGTATACTTGGTATCAAACCATTCTCTGATTAATATTATTTGTTTTATTTATAATATTCACTTATTTATACATTATGTTTATAGGTAAGGATTTGGGGTTTATTAATGTGACTTGTACCGAAACAGAATTACTCAATTCTGAAATATGTTGCTGCCCAAAGAGTCATTCATTCTGTTTGAAATGCATCATCATAAGTTATCTTAAGGTATATCACAAGCAAAATGTAAAGTATGAGTCACGGTGTCATTTTGAATGTGATATGCCTGATGATGAACTCTTCATTTGAAAAAACCGGTCGTATAATACACTTATCATAATACTCCAGACGGCGCATTTATTAATTAATTTATTTTATTTTATGTATACATTTTTTATTTATATATTTATTCACTATAATAATTTATTATTAATTATTATGTGATCGAGTATTCATTTATTTATTTTATTTTTTATATTTCTTTGATTTTATTGAAACTTGAACACAATTTTATTTGTGCAGAACTATCACTTGATATCAATTTCCCTATAATTTGGTTTTTCCTTAGTTTTCTGCAAGTTATTTTCATTTAGAAAAGGTGGTAACTCAAGTTACCACTATTTTCATGAATAAAATATGACTAATATAAAGCAGTACTTCATCCTTTATTAATAAAAACAAAACAAATAAAAGCTTTTTCAATCTTAGAAGTATGTAATACAATATATTATAGTAATTAATAACAACATTGGGAACTCTACATTGTAAACAAAATAAATTTAAATCTTTTTAACATTAATTTAAAATATAAAATGTAACAGTAATTAATAATAATAGTAACCTTTAACAAAATGTATAATTAATATGAATATTAAAATATAAATCTTTTTTAACATTTATTTGAAATATAGAATGTAAATGTGGTTGAAAATATTTGTAATCTTTCATAAAATTTAATATTTAAGTAATTTTTTTTGATTTTCATTAAATGAATATGTCTTAGGTATAAGACCCTTTTTACATAGAGATGTCAAGTCTTGGATTTTTGCTTCTTCTACGCATAATTATTCTTTGTATGCTGTAATAGAAACCAAGCATTTATCACGTTGTCCTCTTTGTTTTTTTTTTTATAAGATTAATTTGTACGAAATCTATTGAACTTGATATACAAATGTGAATATTGATGTACATAAAATTTTTGACTGTGTAAACCATATTTTACTAGAGAAATTAGAACAGGTATACGAGGAGGGGCAAATAGCCTATTAAAATCCTTTTTAAGTGGAAGAACCTAGAGTTAAAATGTATGATATTTTGAACAAAACTTTAGAAATATCTTGTTGGGTTCCTCAAAGTATAGTTTTAGGCCGCTATTATTTATAATTTTTTACAAATAAATACGAAAATTAATATTGAATTATTTAGCTTGGCTGATGATACTGCCATTTTAATATCTGATCAAACAGTTAATAATCTATATTATGAATCTAACAATATTTTAAATACTGTCTATTTTTGGTTCAGTAAGAATAAATTAAAATTAAATTTATTCATTTTGAACTTTATTCATCCAATATTTTTTCAAATAATAATGTAATAGTTCATTTGTTAAACTGTATACCTAATTGTAATTCAACCTACAATTCTAAATGCATTAATCTTGAAAAAGTATTAGAAATTAAATATCTTGGATTAATTCTTAATTATACGCTAAAATGAAACAGGCATATTAATTGTAAATAATAATTTACGTGAATTCTTCTATATATTTAAATAATTATAATTATTTGTTTATCACTAGTACAGTCTTATTATTTTTATAGTTTATCAATTTGGGGAGGAACCTATAATATCCATTTATCCAGATTAAATGTTACTATTAATTGTATTATAAAATATTTATTAAATTTACCTTTTCAAGCACTAGTATAATATATGAAGCACTGAATGTAAAAAACTTTACATTTATTTATAATTTTTCTGTTCTGATAGATTTGTTTAAACATATTTAATATTTTAAATATTAATTTATTTAATACTAATATTTGATTATGAACATAAATCTAGATTCAAATAAAATATTAATATATGCTTACCAAATTCTTCTAAAGTTTTTGGTCAAAAAAGTAAATTTTATATTGGCTTACATTTATGTGTTTCATTTAATAGTAATTTAAATAATTTTAAGAATTTAAATAATTTTAAGAATTTAACTACTTTCAAAAATTATATTTAATTTCAATTATTAACTATCTCATATCTGTCACTTATTGTCTTTTCTATTTTATTAATTTTCTTTATTGATCTCATGTTATTAGATTTGATGCTTCATTGATGCTATATTATACTAATTGTGTCTAATTTAATTAGGTTTACTTATTCTATTTATAATTTTTATATTTATTTTTAGTTATCATTTGTAACTATACTTATTCTTACTTTATATTTCTTTCCTTTTAAGAACTTGCACTACCAACACAAGTTCTGATTTTTGGGAGTGCTGTAATATTAATTTAGTTATAATTATTGTAAATGTATACATTTATTTATAATTTATATTTAATTTTTTGTTATTATATGTGAAGATATATTATTTTTGCAATAAATAATATATGATTATATTATAAAAAAAAAAAAAAAAATTGTATTTTATCTCAAGTAAATGAAGATATTTAAAATTAACAGATATTTTTCTTTTACCTTATTCTTTTGAATCAATGTTTTTTTTTATTTATCAGATTCGTTGAATAAATTATTTTCTATTAGTGGTTTGAAATCTAAGAAATCATAAGACATTTCAAAAACAGAAATGGTTTACCTTTTACTTTAGCACATCTAATTATTGTGACCCATTGATCAGGCGTGTAAATTACTTTGACTTTTTTGGCATTTTCAATAACAACATGCATTAAATCACCTTCATTTTAGGTGTAACCTCTTTCTAAAAATCTGTGTGTGATTTTTAACTATAAAGTATAAACGGTATACTCCCTCAAATATAAATGAGACTGTTTTGGTTCTACCCACCACAATTGTCTAAATTTAATACAACTTCTTTCATACCTCGATACTTGATAATTTTCAAAAACTTAAACAGACAAATTGAAATTTCATTGGAACCTTCATTACCTTCTGACTGAAGCCACACTAAGTAGTGCCTATCAATGTTTCCTTTCCAATGTTAAAAAAATAAAATTACAAATTGAAAATGTATGTTTGTAATAAAAACTGCTCTTCTCATCTTATCCTGAGGTTAAGAACTTTTTCAAGATCAAATACGGCCACACAAAATTATTTTTCCTTTACAATTCTTTCTTTTTCAGCATTCTTTTTTTCCCTAACAATTATTTTATTTTAAATATGTTTACAAATTATACAAATATTTTTCCTCGTCTTGATCTTCAATATTGAACATCTTGTGCTTCTCGCAAACATCACATATCTTTTTTTGGCTTATAAAAAACCTATAATTATACTCATTAAATATATCTGTATACTGACGTAAACTTGTTTTTTTTGTTTTAACACTAACATTCTTATTTAAAATCCATTTCTGGAACAACCTATGTATCTTTGCAATAAACAAGATATTTTTTAAATATTGTTTTTTGGTGTTTTCTCGGTTATAATGTGGTTCTACTACTGGAAAATTATTTATATATTCACGGACAATATTTTTTAGTTTTGTTCTTTTTTAGTTTATTTTTCTTAAACTAATACTATACAGGGTTTGGGTTTAATTGGACTATTTGACATTTTTACATTGTAGTTACATGTAAATATAGTACATTAGTACATACTATTTATCTACTACTATAAGAAAAAAAAAACTGGCCATCACAAAATGGAAACCGAGTCGAGGCTGATCTCAGGATGTTGGGAATAATGAACGGAGAAGAATTGGCAGAAAACAGAAGCATGGAGAGAGATAGCCTGAACGGCCTAGAAAATTCTTAAAAAAAAAAAATAAAAAATATAAAACTAAATATTAATTTACTTTATTTTATTTTAAATTTAAACAATTTAAACTTTACATAAACTTTATATTTAACTTTTAACTTATATAATACTATAGGTACTATTCAAGTATAAACTTATAATTTGTACCTAATAAAAAAAATAATATATTACTAAGGGCCGGTTCTACCACCCATAGATATCTAATAGTTAAACTTATCCATAGGATAATTTGACTCATGGTGTTCGACAATGTCTAGATATCCCTGAAGCTGTTGGCATAGTTATTGGTAACTTGTTAAACAGTTTTACTGCTGAATAAGTATTTTATCTAGAGGATAATCAATATTTATGTCGAATAATTATCATATTGTGGACTGATGTTACAAACTATAGAATTTTACTATTAAATGTATATATTTAATTTAAACTCAAATTTTTAAGTTTATAAAAGTTTTTAACTAAAAAATCTTTTGTAATTTTGATAATATATATGATGAAGATGAATATAATATTGAAGATTAGTCAATACCAAGAAAAAAGGAGTATTTCGAAATAAAATGCAGGATTTAGAAATGTGAGATGATGATGAATATTTTATTTGTTTTAGACTATAAAAAAAAACAACAGTCATAGAAATTTTCTATTAGAGATCTTGCTCCGATATTTAAGTATATCACTTTTTCTGATTGGAAATCGGTGTCAGAAGGTCATTTTTCGATTTTCTCAAGAGTTTTCTCATCGAATGTGAAAAACCGAAAAAAAAAAACTGAGGAAAAACGAGAATATATACGAAATATATTACTAAAATATACATGGAAAAAAAAATATGGTTGACTTACTGAAATTATATGTGCAGTAGCTGTAAAATGTATTTGCATATGGCATAGTCATATATTTAGTTGCAAGTAATATACGGTTATAGTTGTAAAATTAATAGTTTATTTGACTAAAAAATGTCGTTGATAATTTGTCTAATAATATTATTCTATCCTATAGTAAATTTATAGTAAATACAACCTGAAAATTTAATAGAATCGATCAAATTTACTAGGTAAATTTTTCCGAATCATCTAAACAATGTAGTTGACAGTTTTCTTAACTAAATATTTAGTTGAATCAATTAATATATATTTTTTTTAATTTATAATAAATTGAACTAAACATTTCATAGTCTTTACTATATTTTCAGTCGAATTTACGAAGCATTTGTTTTTGAAAATTTGAAATAGCTAAAAATATATAGCAGATTTATTTAACTCTATTATTTAGTTTAATTTAAACTACTTATATTTTCTTATATTGGGCTTTTATTTAAAAAATGGCGTGGCAAATCAAAACATAACTTCCTTAAAGCACCATCTAGACAACTTGTATTAAATATCCGGTTTCGTATACTATGAAGTTAAATCATGTTTAGTAGTACTTACAGATATAAATGTTATAAACGCAGCGGCTTGCTTTACTTTAGAATGTCTCCAGAATGATTCCCATCAATTGTACGTTTTCTATCAAGGTTTATGGTTGGCTGTTGAAACAATAATGGCGGTAACTTAAATACTGCTATGTATTCATTACCTTAAAAATATATACTATTAATTAATTTTTGGAAAGTTAAAATAAATAATATTTATTATTCAAAAATGTATAATTTCTCAATGTTAAATGATATTATTGATATTAAAGATTAAAATTAATTAAATATTTTTATCAAGCTTTGATGGAGTTTGTAGTTATCTTATTATACTAGGTCCTTGGACTCCAAATTGATAATTAACACTTTTAATTTATTCAATAAACTTTTCTATGAAAACATCTATTTTATTTAACAGTAGAAAGTCTTTTTATGGATATAAATATTTGAAATCAAGTTCAATCAGAAATAAATGGCATTCGGTAACTTAGAAAATAAAGCATTCTTAAAGATGGAAAAAATTTTACACAATCTACAGAACATGTATACAGGTAACTTTTATTTAAACTTAATTGAACTAATCAAAGTTATTAACATTAAAATACCACAAATATTAAACATTCAAAAAAGTAAATATTTGATTTAATTTGTTAAGAGTATGCTACTAGTTAGAATTTAAGTACATAAAATTATAGGTGTTATGCATTTAATTAACTACACTATTACTTAGTATAATAAAAACCAACCGAAATATGCCCTAAAGGTCTGTTTAGAGCAGTAAATAGTTCAATTCCGTTTTTTATGATGCCAATATCTAACCCAATACGTTTCTACCCAATATGTCTGAAGAGTTTGGCTTGGTCGAGTATTATATTTGAGCCGAACAATTTTATCCTCATAACCTATTAAGATGTATAAATGCAAAATCACAAAAAAATAATATAAATCAAAGATGTATTGAAATCAACATGAATCTATAAAGATGTGATTATCGCCGTCAGTGGCATGCATAGCAACATCATTGTTTGAGCTATTATTAATTTGTTGTATATCTTTATTTAGATTGTAATATTTGCCGTGTAACTTTTCTCTCACAGGTACTACATTACTGCCATCTTTACAGTATGGAGTGAAATAAGTTTCTTTTATTTCATTAGTAAACAATTTTTCAATACCTATATTATTAAAGAAATGCCTAGGTATTATTAATAATAAAACATAAATTAATAAAACTTCAACAGTTCAACAAGAATTTTTCAATAAATATCATGAAATCATTAGTCGTAAATGCATGCATTAAGTTGTAGATGTATGAATATTGATTGTAAAAATATTGTTTAGTCAAAACTCTAAATGTTTAAATACTGTTGGTTCATAATGTATTACAGTTTTGGTCCGATACCCATTGCAAGCTAATACACTTATTTATAACGTTAAAGTAGATTTATAGCCAGTGATATTTATTTATTTATTTTCGAAAAATGAAATATGACTTCAGCTAATAGTGACGATTTATTCTTATCAATTTTTAAATCATGCTAGTATTTCTGGATTTCATGTTTTATAATCACCGAGCTCAGAGTGTTTCTCATAAACTGATTGAGAGTACCAACTGTATCATAATACGTACATAGCCAATTTTCCACCAGAATATTTGTTTAATATTGTGGTGATGGCCAAAAGTCGCGTGACGTCTACCGTTTTGTGTAGAACGCGTTTCTCTCCCTCCACGTCGTTTCCGTTACGTCATATTGCAACTATGGTCTCGTTATCTTGTTTACGTACAACAGCAAGGTTTATAAAAAAAAAAACAACATAACCTATTAGACGCAGTTTCATGTTCGTTATCGTTCGTAACACTGCCGAAATGCAAATTTGTTGCGCGACTTTTGGCCACCTCTGTATTCTTTTGATTTCGGATTCTACAATATGTTATGAAAACAAAAGTAAATATTAAAATAATAGCACTAGAACAACTTTAGTAAGCAATTAGTGGCTCTCATGTTTATCTCATGATCTCTATGCTTTAAAAAAAATAAATACAGTTTAAAAGACCATATCTAACTTTCTTCTCAACTATAACTGGCAATCTACTTTTTCACATTACTCTATCGATAATGCCGCTAAAATATTTTATGAAACTGTCTATAATGCTATAGATAAATATGTTTCCAAAAAGACGTATATTGCATTTAAATTCCCAATGTGGGTATCTTTTAACCTTAAAAACCTAATTTTTCTTAAAAAACATGCGCATCTAGCATTCATGTGTTCGAATACAGCTTCTAACTAGTTAATTTTTTCTGGTCTTTGGGCCAAATGTAAACATTAATCAAAGCTCGATTACCCCCGTCACATTAATATTACTGACAAAGCACTCACATCCTCTCCAAAAATTGTTTGGAAGTATGTCAAGAACTTCCGACAAAAACCTTTAATTCCTTCTACAGTCTATCTAAACGGCACCACTTCTTCTTCTAGCACTGAATCCGTAAATTTATTTTCATCATATTTTGCTTCTGTTTTTAATCAATCACTGCCTCTTCTAATGCCTAACTTTGAACGGAACAGCACGCCTAATCTATCTCTTGTACAGACGTTCAATGGATGAGGGAGCCTTCCCTAATATTTGGAAAATTTGTTCTGTGACACCCATTCTTAAATCAGAGGATCCATCAAATATCGCTAACTACAGGTCTATTACTATTCTTCCCCACTTTTCTAAGTCGTTCGAACAAATAGCCCTCAATCACACTATCATTGATCAAGAACACGGTTTCCGACCGGATAACTTTACAATTACTAATAGCGTCGTTTCCACAACAAACATTTTAGACAGTTCCAGTGCTAGAGATCAGTTGGATGTAATTTTTACCGATTTAAAAAAAAAAAGCGTTAAATACTGTCGATCATCTCCTAATCGAACTAGAAAACCTTGGCATCGACAATTCTCTTCTATCATGAATAAAGTCATATACTACCTCCAGAACTCAATTTGTAAAAATTAATAATTCACCTTCCGATAAATTTGCTGTTACGTCCGGTGTTCTTCAAGGTAGTCATTTTAGCCCCTTAGTATTTATTATTTTTATAAACTCGATTGGTAGATCTTAAAATGGCTGTTTTAAAGTTGCCTAGTGTGACCAGAAACCGTCATTTGATTTTTGCGGAAGTTACGTTTTAATAAGTACGTAATATTAATTTCATTTTCATCCACAATAGTTTATCTAAATGCACGTTAAAATGAATATGTATAACAGCAATATCGCAGATTCTGCGCAAATGTGGCTGCCGGCTTTCGCCTCTATATTATAACCAGATTACGTGACACTGATACACTGATATCAGACATATAATAACGTGCGTATATAGGTAACAATATATTATAATGTTTGTTTATGTACTGATACAATTGCAATTGATAATACATTGGCGAACGACGTATTATTAGGTACACGAACAAATCTCCACTGAACAATAATTGCAAAAGTCCTATTATAAAGGTTCGATCTGATAATGGAATAAAACAGTGGCCTAGCTAAAATCCTGCCTCCCATATAAGAAACAAAGAGCTTTTCCCATTATTACGAAATCTTGTTAAATGAAAAAAAGAATTCCACAATGCACCAACTATATAAGACCCAAAACGTTACAAAAACCTTTCTTTTAATTTTTTGATCTAAGCAAGATTTCTGGTAGAAGTTGTTTACAGAAAAAAAAAATTAAATTAAAAAACAAAAACTTACCTATATACTTATATAAGTACTTAAGATATAGGCTCCATTTAAATCTTTAATATCCAAATTACTTTTGCCTAAACACACAACGCAAACAATAACATAAACATTTTTTTTTTTTTTAAATATATTGTGTACATTAGTGAAATATATTATTAAGGTGATAAAAATAACCCCCCCTACTAAATTAAAAATCATAGTGTAGAATAAATTAGCTTTCCGTTCGCCGTTTCACGCTTGTAAATTCCTCGGACGACTATAATACCAGTTTTTTGTTCACATTCGATTTGTTATCCGGACACGGAACTCATATCAAACGCGTAACGAAAGTCAAGGAGTCATAGAAGTGGACAGGTACCTATTTGGCATTTGGCACCAAAACAAAAACGGTCGGAAAAACTATGACGTCTTTGTCGTTTTCGATCGAACCTTGAATATGGATACGGTGTGACGGTTTTCTTTTAGTCGACTTCCAATTATACAGCCGAGTGCATACGGTTAGTTTATTCAATTAAAAGTCACCGTTGGAATAAATCGCAATTTTCGTAAATAACACGCGCACGGGTATAATTTTTGTATCCGTCGAAGAACCGTCCGAAAGCGCGCGCGAGAACAAAGAAAATACAGTGAATCCGGCGAGCCAACGCATGTAGATGTACACGGTTGTGAACTTTAATAATTTGTAATACAATCACGGTGATTGAAGAAATCGATTACCGGTCAGAGGCGGTTAAGCAAATCCGTTTAGAGTGGCACACAGACGTTTTTAGCCGGCGGCAGTCCGACACCGAGATGTACTTGTGAGGACGCTACGCCCGCGTGTGCTGTCTCGGTCCGACTGACGGGCGAAATCCACCTTGCGCAGACTGCGCGTAGAACTCGCTTAACGTTGGTTTTAAAGTAAAATCGCCTATTGTAGAATTAATAGAGAACACTGTTCCAGAGGGCAAGACGACGCGTTTTCTCTGTGTTTCTAATTATTATTCCGGATATAACGTTCAGTGCACCGTTTAGAAATAAAAACAAATTCATCGGTTTTAAAATGACTGTCAGAATTCGAAAAAATAAACGCATCCTCTCGTCTTCCGGGATATTTCCCTCTTATAATTTTATAATAGGTGCTTTAACTATTAAACAAATATTAATCGAGTTCATCGTAGTCTGCATAAGGTGTAGATTTTACTATATTGCCCGTTAGTTTGACTGAGACGACATTTGCGGGTATTATAATAGTGTTCTCTTAATAATTATTGAATTACTAAAATGTAGATGGGCCGTGGGTAGGTAGGTGGAACGGTGGTCTATCGAGCATTTTTCCAAGAGAACGAGGGAAATCTGAAAGTATAGGATTCAGGGTATTTTATTTTATGATATTTTACTGAAAGCAATAACAATGAATAATGATTGCAATCGAACAATTATTCTGTTAGGAGCTCGGTAGAGCTTTTCATTCTTGGTCACCAAAAGGTAACCCAAACGTTGAACAAAATTAATTCGACATG